TGATTTTACTGTAGGCAGTAACATTCTAAGGTACTGTCATACCCTAAGGTTCCCAAGAAGACAGACAGTGTCCTTGCCCTTGTCATGAGGACTTTCATGATCTTTAAACTCAAGTCATGTTTCGCAACACCTTGAGTTTATAACATTTTAAATACTAGAATTCTTAGTAGCACACTTGAAGTAAAGAAGCTCAAAAGAGCACTCAGTTAATTTAGCAGTAATTATAATGCAGTCACGACCAGAGAACATCAATGTTTCAGTGTCTACAGAAGCATCCATGTTACTATGTCATTAAACTTGACTGCTCTTTAGGGCTGTGCCATTATTTCAGTAAAATTGTTTGCTATCTTAACTCACTACCTACCATCTCCTCAAAGGAATCAAAGTGGGTAGGAGCACAGGTCTGGAAGTAGACTGTCAGCATTGTATCTGCTCTACTAATACTAGTTCTGGACACTTGGCCATATTTTTTTAACCTCAAATATGCCTGTTCACTCAACTGTAAAATGGAGATGACATAAGTATCTATCCTGTGGGGATGTTTTGAGATGAATACATGTTAATACATAAAGTATCTTGTACATAACAAGTACTTAGGTGTTACCTAGATGCAAAACCAAGAATTCACAAGGCAAAGTTCTCTCATGTTCCAATACACCCACAACCTTTCTTTGGTGTAGTTTGGCACTATGCTGTCTTCTTATTTATAAGTTATACTGTGACCTACAATGCATCATATGATCCATTCAACCAAACATTCCATCTCATAGACACTGCCTTAACAATATGTATGTGCAGTTATAGTAAAGATAAATTTTATAAACCACTCAAAATTTAGTACTGTGAAGGAACTGTGGGAAATTAGTGAAAATGTGCAAAGAAAGGAGAGGCTGGAGGCAAAGAGAACAATTAATGCTGTTAAAAAAATAATTCAAGCGTAAGAAAAGGTCCTGAATAAAGACAATGGTAGAAGGAATGTGGATAGGTTAGACATATTGTTAAGTGAAAAGTCTACCTGTTTGTACATTCATAGAACAGAAAAGATACAAAAGAAACTGGTAATATTGGCTGCCTCTCAAGGGAACTGGGTGGCTGGAAAACAGGGGTGGAAGGGGACTTTTTACTCATGTCCTTTCCTATCATTTTAATTTTAAGCATGTGATTATGGTTCCTATATACCTAAAACAATTTTTTAAAAAAAGAAATGGAACTGGAGGAACAGAATCTAATGACAGGAAGGAAGAATTTACAGGACCGGAATACTAATCGAACACAAGATGAGAGGCTAAGGGCGAAAAACATGATGCCAACGTTGTGAGCCTGTGTGACTAAAAGAGCAAGACGGTGGGATGAACAGAAATGCAGAGGTTAGCAGGAGGTTCTGATAAAGGGAGAAGGGAAAATGACAGTAAGCGTATATGAAAATTATCACCTAGTTCAGAAATCCCCAAGTAGTCAAACTGTCTTCAGTATCATGACTAATTTCCCCTATTCAGGATTTTTATTTTCAGAAGCTGATCCATATAAGGACTTTTAACTTTTTTTTTTTTTGCAAGAAGATAAGTGTGTGCACTGACGAGACAAAAGAGCAAACGATACCTGATCCTATAGTGTGCATTTTTCTGAGCTTTAAAGGAGAAGACTTTCCGTAGATGAAGTAAATACTTTCATAAAAGGTTTTGCAAGGCTCGGAGTATATATACACAGTCATTCTGGTAAGTATAAGGCTTTGCAGCTTTATGAGATTTCCTAGGAAGATGCTTCCAGGGTGGGTAGAATGTTCCCAGCAGTGGTACAACAGAGCACCAGTAACGGCAGCAAATGCTCAAGCACGATGGATGCCCACAGAGCCACTCAGAGTGTGGACACATTCCTGAACACAAGAAATACCTAGAGATTACTGAAATAATTGGGGGGATGAGGGAGCACGAGCTGGGGAAATAGGAGAAAGAATAAAGCTGTGACTGATTGCTCTCTTTCACACAATAGGTTGTGCCTACACTATGTATACCTGGTGCTATGCTAGGCACTAGATAAAAAGACATGGTTTCAGTTAGCAAGGAATTCAGTTTTGTTATCAGAACAAATGTGTAAAAGCAGACAATGACAGCAACTCCTGGAACATTTTAATGTTTCAATTTTTAAAACAGAGGTTTTTTGCTGTTTTTTTTTTTTTTACTAAAGTTCAAAAAAGTACATTAAACTTTTTTTTTTGATCCAATTCCCCTTACCTCCCCATTTTAGAAGAAAACTGAGGGCCACAGAGGTAAGAGATTTTTCCAAAATCATACTGGTGACTAAAAGCACAGTAAGGAGAGGCCAAATCTCCTGACACTCAGAATCACTCTCTCCCACTACATCACAATACCTCATTTATAATTCATCAAATAGATGCCTCTACTCTATTTTTTTCATTCATGGTTACATGAAAAAAACTGTAATAAAAAAAGCATAGCTTCTGAATCAGACCAACCTGGGCTCTGAATTTTCTAACAAATTACACTGTTTTGCTTAGCATTAAGGCTGGTCTTAATAAAATAGCTAGATGTTCTAGAAGAAATGATAATAAACCTACACTCTTAACCAAAGATTGGCATCTGAGTTCGCACCTGCTTAGGCTTTAGGCTCCTTCCAAGGATATTGTAACAGATTATATGAATACTACTTGGCAAAGCTAATTAAAAAGAAGGGAAGATAAACGAATGGCAGTATTGATACCAATCGAAGACTTGTTAGAAAATACCCCCATGGCAAACAAGCTTTAGAGTTTACGTCATTCTAAATTAAGGAAGTAATATATAATCAAGGAAATCCAGTTTTAAAGTATAAATATTTTTCATGAACTCTAACAGAACCCTCAAATTTCTACATCTATTTACAATTATTTTCCACATCTCTCCTAACTAATTTTGATAAACCTGTTTCTCAAAAAGTGCCTTAAACATGACATACATCATTGTCTAAACTTAAAGCATACAGATCCATTTCTCATTTACGGTATTTTTGAAGTAGTACATAAATATTCTACTAGTTAGGCTGAAGGGAAAAATATGCTAATTATACTTTTTTTCAGCCCTAAAATTCTCTCTGCATTTATGTTTTAAAAATGCTGAGGGGCTGGCCCCATGGCCAAGTGGTTGGGTTTGTGCTCTGCTTCGGCAGCCCAGGGTTTCGCTGGGTGGAATCCTGGGCGTGGACGTGGCACCACTCATCAGGCCACGTTGAGGCAGTGTCCCACATACCACAACCAGAAGGACCCAGAACTAAAATATACAACTATGTACCGGGGGGCTTTGGGCAGAAAAAGGAAAAATAAAATCTTAAAAAAAAAAAAAAACGCTGAATCATGAAATAAAGGAAACACAAGGTGCAAAGAACCCAAACAAGCAGTTCGTCTCATATTTCAAATTTCCTAATTATGGTATCCTGTCATTTTGGTCTTGTTAAGTATTTCCAACCAAGTAACTGAGGAGTCAAAGTACCTAGAGGAGTAGAGCTCATTCTCAGAAACCGAACTCGAGGATAAGGCTAAAAGCATTTATTTCTGCAAGTTATCACACTTTCAACTTCCTGTTTTATTTAGGCAGTTCATCATGACCATTTCAGGTAACAATGCAGAAGTTAACAAACCCAACTTCCTCTTTATAAAGTGATAAAAACTTCAGCAGTTAGTTATGAGCATGGTTGATCTTACCAGCTTTTACAGAAATACTTGCAAGGAAATCAAAGACCATCACACCAAATTCAACTCTGGGTTCACTGCTTTCAGAAAATGTTACAAAGATAAAAAGAAGTACTAAACTATATTCAGAATCATGACAGAGACACCTTAAAAAAATAAATAAATCAAATGCAGTTTGAGTCTTAGCTAAAAAGAGAGAAAAAAAGGAAACTAGAGTTCCCTCAAGGAAGAATCAATAGAAACTAAGGCTTAAAATACCTTGTATTAGTGTCTTGGTTGTGAAAGTTTTATAGGACAAGAATCTCATTTAAGGGTCACATTGCTTATGAATGCTAAAATATTCACATCAAGAAATCTTGTTGGAAGACTACTTTCTCAATTCTTGAATTCAGTTAAAAGGAATCAGGAGCCTGGAGGAAAAGGAGGCAGAGTAGGTAAGAAGTTGAAGGAGAACTGAAGTAATCTTACAAGTCAAAGCCCTTTCTTTTTACTTAGAGATTCACAACAGAGAGAGAGATGGGTTTCATCTCTGTCTGGGAATAAGGATCCAACAAAATTTCCGTAATCTCAAATCACATGTATTTATCCTACAAGATTTTTACTGTATCAGATATTCTTAATTATCCACACTAATGAAGACAATGTGGTTAACCTAAAAACTGTTTACTGAATATGAGATTCACCAATATTTTCTTGCAGTCGATTTACCTTACTAATTATGATTTGCCTGCTATGTCATTATTAAAATTAACAAAAGAAGCAGGCTGAGAGACAAGAGGAACCTGGTCACAGATCTGCTGTTATAAAATCAAGACTATTAAGTTATTAATTTAAACACTGTTAAGATCCAAAGACATCTTAATTTGCACTTTGAAATATATACATATTTTCCGAAGTTTAAAGAAAAGGCATTCTAACCTCATGTCAAAGTCAAAAACCCAACAGCACTGGTAATGTATCGCTTGGGCACAATAAACTTCTAAGTTTATTGTTATTTAAATCATTAGTGAATTAGTGTTGTAACAATATTTTTGCTTAAAATAAGTGGACCATCAGCTGAGCTAACAAATGTTTTGTTATCCCACAGTCTTCACTGTAACTTAAGTTCATCTGAATCAAAACTATTTGCCTTATAATAAGCATTTTATTATAGTTTTCTCTCCAGCATAAGTTCACATGTAAGATGCCTTTTTTCCCCCTAAATCTTATACATCTATGAGAATTTCCAAGGAAGAGAAAATCTAATGCTGAAATGTTGTTCAATGGCTTGTGAGTGTTTAGCACATTCTTCAGCATTTCAAAATGGCATGCCATATTTAGGTATGATGTATCAAATTATCTGGTACAGAGGACTCATGGATCATAAACAGCCCCCTGACACCTCCACCTCTTTTATTAAAAAAAGAAACAGCTCAGATACACTTACAGAGCACTCCAGGGTGCACATTTTGTAACAACCACTGTGGAAACAAAAGGCATAATTCTTGTCCTCTAACGAGTCATCTAGTGAAATCATTCTAATTTCTACAGATCCTAAAATCACCTATTTACCGAAAAGCCTGACAAACTGTTAAGTGTGCAGTCGCCAGAAAAAAAAATTACTGCATCTAAAGGAGAATACACTTTTGTATTTAAGACACTTTTTAAGAAATAAGGATACAAATTACACACTGGCAAATTCAACTATAATCAGACACCACAGTGGCGCATCAAAGAAGGCACAATGCTTTGTCTAGACTTGAAAGTGTTAACATGAGGTTTATGTGCTATATAAAGGCTTTCTGGAGTTTTAAAAGAAAATCCGTTGGCTATTCTTGATTTGTTAACAAGACATCGAAAACTGTTTTTCAAAAATTATCGTAAAGAGGATAGGATGTAAGACGCAGTGGACGGAGGCACCGCAGGGCCGTCTGTACATACAATCAATCAAGGGGGTGCCTACAGGGAAAAGAGTGGTGTTCAAATTCTGAAGCAAATGTCCTGGGGCTTACACGTTTATTACTGTGAATTAGTTCAGCCGATAGCATGTGACAAAAGAGATGGATGTGTGGAGAGGCAGACAACACATGGGGACCTTTCCCTGTCGAGGAGTCGTGACAGCAAAATCACTTCCTGAGGAAGGAGGAGCAAAAGGGAAGTTAAGAGGCCACCCTGACCAGGAAGTGACTCGCCCTAAACTAGCCTCAATCATATCAAAAAATGGGGGATGGGGTGAGCCCCAACAGCTAAAGGCGGGTAAAATAACTGCTTCCTGATACGTCGCGACATCACCATGGCCCCCTCTTAATTACAGAAGAGAGTCCAGTTAGGATTAAAAAGGGAAAGTCTCCTCTCTTGTAGAAAGGCCACTGGATTGTGCCTCAGGCCCCAGAGGAAAAGAGAGTTGAGGAACGGGGAACTGGAGCCACCGTGAGGCAAAGTAAAGCCCCTCAAGAGGGAAGCGTCCCGACTGCGGAGAGCGTATACCAACACGGGCTAGGAAGCTGCTTTCTCCTGGGGATGCTGCCAGGGTTCCCACCGCAGCCGGGCCGGGCCCCTGTTCCCTGTCGCGTGACCAGGTAGGAGAGAGAGGCGGACCCCTTACCTTCTCCTCATCCGACACCCGATCCTCGAAGTCGGCCATCTTGGGCTGCTCTGGCCCAGCCCGGCCCCGGCGCGAGGCAAGCCGGGAAGGAAGCCGAGTGATGGAATCACCGCAGGGGCCGTTGGAAGGACCCGCCCGGAAACGCCGACCGAGAGCGCGCCATGTCAGTTACGGGCGGGGGTGCTGGCTTTGGGCGTCCACGCCTCAGGAAGTCGGCTTTGCCTTAAATGATTTTAAGTCTAGTATCTTTCTCAATGAGTTACATTTATTTCCGCATTCATCTATTGGACGCTGGGAGCGGGTTTTCACTGTTCTTGGCGCATGAGCTCCATCCGACCAAATAGCAGTTGCTACTCCTATAGGTTTTCCCAGTGCCAGTGATCTCCATGGCAGCCGAGTCCAAAGGGCTAAGGGCTGTTCGGCCCCTGGAACGATCGGCGGCTTTTCCAACCCCAGGAATGACCCTCACTCGTAGGGAAGCAAAAACACTTCATTCCGGGTTCACATCTCGGTCCATTTCCTCCGGAATAGGTGCCGCTACCCGCCCCTTCCCGCCCTTCGAAGGAGTGGGTAGCCCCCGTCCTAGCGCGCTCCTCCACCTTCCAAATCCTCTCGGTTCCCCGTTCCCTGGAACGCTCAGCCTTCACAGAGGCCGACTTCAGGTCCGCCACTATCCCAGGATTCCCGACTCCCGGTTTCCTGCCCTCCCCTCCCAGCTGCCGGCGTCTGAGGGAGCGGCAAGATGGCGGACGGTGACGGCTTGGGTGAAGCCGCGGCTGCGGCGGCCTCGCCTCTTGCACCTGCTCCCGGCCTGATCCCGCCGCCGGGCTGGAGGGAGCGGCTGCGGGCCGGGCTGGCGGGGACTGGGGCCTCGCTGTGGTTCGTGGCGGGGCTGGGGCTGCTTTACGCTCTGAGGGTCCCGCTGAGGCTGTGTGAGAATTTGGCAGCGGGTGAGAGGCCCAGACTTCCCCGGGGATGGGCGGCGGGGCCAGGAGAGGTGCCGGGGGCAAAGGCCAAAGGGCAGAGATCCTCAGTAGTCACTGGAGGGCGTCGGAGAATGAGTTGGTGGTCCGCGACCAAGTGGGTTCTTGCCTCTTGGGCCGCAACCCCGCAGCTGATTGTCAAACCTGAGCTGCCGCTGCCGGCTCCTCCCTAGAGCTAAGATCCGCCCTCTCTCTTCTGTCCGCGTTTGCCCGAGGAAGAGCCACCTGAGAAACTGCAAGCATCAGGTGGTAGGACAGATGAGAGCAATTTCAGAGTTGGATGCAGAATTTATATACACCCCCTACCGTTGGTAGGATCCCTTAAAAACCGTTCTTTGAGTCTCCCGCCGCTCAGCTGAGAGTACCCGCACCCAGACGACAAAGAGGAGCGCTTCTGTAATTCAAAGATCTAAAAGAAACAAAATGCCTTGATCTTAGCCAACTATTCTTATGTTTTAAAATAGTTCTGTCGAGAAACCGTTTTCATGATATTTTTGTCTGTTCTTTGCTTTAGGCTTTATCTTGAGTAATAAAATAGAACAGTGCAGGAAGTAAAGAGAAAGAAAGACACGAACAGCAGAGGTTCTTTCCTTAGTTCTTTCTTTCAACATTTATAGAGAGCTTGCTATGTAGCCTGAAGATAGAAAGATGTGTAAGAAGTGATGATCCTCGTGGATTCTGCAAATATTGTCCCTTAGGCGCAGCCGAGACTAAGTGGATGAGAGCCAGGGCCTCTCGCCCTGTCGTTAGAATATTTCAACTCAAGTTCTGAGCGGCAACCTTAGAACAAGATGGAAGTATTTCTGTTGTGTGATGATTGTGAACTATCGGTACTATGGTTTATTTTTCCGTAGCAAGAAAAGGGCAAATATCTGCTTTTGTATTCTTTGAGATTACATGAAAGACTGTGAGATAATGTTCTGAAATATTTTGGACTTTTTAGCGCATAGGTACTGTGTAAATTTGGAGATGACTAACACACTAAAACAGGCTAAATAAATTGGCCTTCCTAGACTGAAAGAGCTAATTCTGTAACAGGTTAATGAAGTGCTTACTAGTGGTTTGTATGCTCAGTGAAATGTTATTAATTGGGTTTATCATTTATTTCTCTACATTATCTAAATACACCATTTAGATGAGAGTAGTTGACTATTATAGATTTTTATTTCTTTCTAAAACCCAAAGTATTTATCAGACAATTATTAGAACTGACGAATCTGGTCCAGGCTTTCAGTCAATCAGGCCCAGGGAGCTCTCAGTTTGTTGCTGTTGTCTTTGGGCTATTTTGCCTCTCTAGCTGACATACCTCGCACATACATTGTTTGCTGCCCTCTAATTTGAAACACTTGTTTGTATCTCACCAAAATCATTAGGGAGTGGTTTTAAACCTTCTTTGTAACAGGATGTTTATTTAGCTTATCCTTATAGATCTGCAAAGCTTCTTGTCTAAATTATGATTTATGAGTTCTTAGTTTTATTCTCAAAAGTAAGCTAAATTATCAAAATGACATAACTGTCTAACAGATCAACAGTGTAAAATTCTACCCTTACATGTGTGAAGGCATTTTTAAGATATGATACAGTGGGAATTTAGAATAGCTTTTTAAAAAATTACAGCTTTCTCAAGTGAATCTCATACTAGGTATTAATACCAGTTGTGTTCCTCTACTCATAAAGGTACCTGGCGTATGTGTAATTTGAGTACTTTGAATTTGCATTTTTTTAAACTAATTTTTTTTTTCCTTTTGGCAGTGACAGTATTTTTAAATTCATTGACACCCAAATTCTATGTGGCACTTACAGGGACATCTTCTTTGATATCAGGACTAATATTTGTAAGTAGTTTCCACTGCTTTCATGCTTTGGTATTTATCTAAAGATCAAATCTCTTTATATGGTTGCAGTAATTATAAATACTTATAATCAGTTTTCTCAAAATGTGTTCAGCATTTGGAAAAACACTGCATCTTCCTCTCCACTTTTAGAGATTGGCAGTATTCATTTGCATATAAAAGACTATTGTATAGGGGGCAGAGGCTGGGAGGTAGGTTGTGAACTAAATACCTGCAGGGCCCAGCTGGGTAACAAAAATGAGTGAAATGGGCAGTGTAAGAATTAAATTCCTTTTACTTTGAGGACTGGGTAATCTGGACAGCGCATGCTCCTTCTAAAAGGGACTAAAGCTAATTGTTGCCGTATAGACTTCAGACCAGTATTACCAGATCTTCCAATTCTTTAAATTATTTCCAAAGAACCTTATTATACAAGTTTTTATATAAAATCTCCCAATACTTGGCAACATTGGGTGGACTAAAAATTTATCTCTGTCTTGAATTTAGCCTATAGGCTGCCAATTATCTTCTCTGGAGTGTTTAAGAACAGGGTTTTGAAGCCAGGCCAACCATCACTTTAGTTGCATGACTTTGAGCAAGTTAACTTTTCTAAACCCTAATTTATTCATCTGTAAACTGGGGATAATAATAGTATCAACTTCATAGGATTTATGAAGACTGAATGTGATAATGCGTGTAAAAGCTTGCAGCAACATGGTAGCTAGCTCAGAGTGAACACTTAATTAATTTTGGCCATTGTTATTCTGAGAAGTCCCACAATAAAGAAATCTGTTTAACTTTAATTCAGCTTTTCCTTGTTTTATTTGACTAAACTATCATTTTTAATTAAAAAAAATTTTTTTAATTTTATAATCTCTATTAACATCCCTAGGAACTAGTGTTTCTTAGTATAAACTTTGTAAAAATACTGCCTCAGCTAAAAATCTTAGGAAGTATTATGGCATGCATGACCAATGAATTTTTCTGTACTTTTTTCTCATCTCTAGGTGGTGCTCTCCAACTGTAGTGGAAATAATGGCATTTGTATTGGAGTGTTTTGGTTTTTAAAATTTTTTGTAGAGACTAACACTTGACCATTTTGTTGAAGTGAAATGCTAGACAAGAAAGGGATTTTTATTTTGACTTAAAAAAAATGATTGAGGAATTCAGGATGAAAATTATGTATAAATATAAGCTTCAAAATTTATTGATTTATAAAGCCCACTCATAATTAAGCATATTTTAGTGTATTTATTCAATAGCATGTAAATGTCTGAATAAACTGTCTTTAAACAGCTGATGTAGTGGAAAAGGCATTGACCTTGGAACCAGAAAATAGAGTTTTGAGTCTTGACTCTGCCACTTACTAGCCGATAACTTTGGGCAAGTCACATAAATTCTCTGAGTCTTAATTTCTTCATTTATAAGAGAGGGGAAACTTACATATATATTATATATATATAACATATAGCTTACATATATAATACATAAAGCAGCTTTAAAAATTTGCTGTTATTCTTTTTAAACCAGAATTTTAAATTTACAAAAATTAGGAAATTCAAGTAACATTTCAAAGGTTAAACTATGTCATTACCCTTGTGATATTAAGTTTTATTAGCAATGGTTATTCTGTTTATAATTTATTTTACCGCCTGAAATGAGGAAGCTAGCTGTACTGCTTGTGTTACATCTACCTGATGGGGTAGTATGCTTGGAAGCTTAAAGAATAGCAACAAAGCCAATTGTCTAACTAATTATTACAAGTGAAAAGATTACTCTGAAAGGAAAACACAAGATCCAGTAGGAGTGCATAATACAGCTTTCTGTTCTGTGGAATCAGGAAAATTTCCATGAGGATGTGTCTTTTAAGCTAAAACCCAAATGAGCCAGGCAAAGGGAGTTGAGAAGGCTGGAGTGTCCAGATCTGAAACCTTCTGCTAACTCAGCACAGAGAGCTTCTGTTTATAACAATGATAAACCATGGAGATAGAAAGAAGTGAATAGCCTGATTTTTCAATAGTTCAATTTGGGCATCAACCTGGCACTTAACCTACATTAATAATACTGCTGAATACTGGAGTAGTACTTTATTGTTCAAAAGGCACTTATAATTCTTGTTAATCATATTTAATAAATAGGACGTTGAGGCTCTGAGAGGTTAGAGGTTAAGTGATTTGCCCAAAGCACATGGCTGACGTGGCTGAATTGGGAGTTAAATGTGGGCATTCTAACCCTAATCTAGTGCTTTATCCACCACATTAGATGTCCCTAAATTGTTTTTCTTTTAATTATATTACAAATAGAATAAAATGACAATGTAACATGACAGTTAAATTATTTGTAGATTAAACGCTTCTTATTTTTTAATGCTTTATTTACAGATGTATTTCTTCTAGTTTTGCCTGGGCTTGTCTAAATTTCATGACAAAGCTATAAAAAAAATCATCCACTTTTGCTTGGCATGTGTTATTGGGGAATCTTGTGTTTGATTATTTTTTTAAAAGAGAGCACATTTAAAATGCTGAATTAAACAGGAACATCTTGAGAGAATGTTTTGATTTGAGCTCATTTTTCTGCTGATCAGTTCCTTTATGAATGAAGGATGTTTTTTTGTTTGTCATAGATATTTGAATGGTGGTACTTCCATAAACATGGCACATCTTTTATTGAGCAAGTATCTATAAGCCATTTGCGACCGCTAATGGGAGGAACAGAAACCAGCATTTCAGAGCCAGGTTCTCCTTCCAGCAACAGAGAAAGTGAAACCAGCAGACATAACTTGTCAGGTGACTACTTATCTAATATGTTTTCAGAGCTATATAGTTAAGACTGTGGCTATGGGAGATAGAAAACACACAGCAACATAGAGAAATTTCTTTGTCTTTCATGTAAATATAGATAATCCATGGCTGATATGGAGAGCAATGATCTTCAGAAACCCAGACTCCTATTTTGTTAGCGTGCCATCTCCAAATGCAGTTTTTCCTTGTGGTCCGAGACAATTGCTTTGACATTAGCCATCATATCCACATTTCAATCATCAGGAAGGAGAATAGGCCAGGAGAAGACAGCCTTTCCCTGACTCCACCCCACCGTAGTCAAGAACACTTCCCAGAATGTTACATACTATTTCAACTTAACTTCCTACTGGTCAGACTTTTGTCAAATGGGTAGAATTATCTGAGGGAGGCTAGAAATTGTAATCATCTTCTCAGTGTATATATGCCCAGCTAATAATGAGGAGATTTTATTAGATGAAGGAGAGAACAAAGAAAATTAGCCATCTCTGCCAAGAGAGCAAAGTTAAGAAAAATACTTTTTCTTCTCAATGTATTTACAAGGACATGAAAAGCTCATTTATGTATGATATTCCATTGTCGTAATATAATTGTAGATTGTTCCTCTTTATGTATCCAATAATACAAAGTAAATATTGTTAATGATATGCAATGGGGAAAGTAAAATTTTCAAAGCCAAATAGAAGTGATATTTTTGGATTATTGTTCCTTTCATTTGGTATAGGTAATAATCATACAGTAATAATACAAATGACTTAATTCTACAGATTGCCATAATATCTCATTTGTTCAATAAACCTAACCAGTAGAGTTATATTAGTTTAGTAGAAAAATACTACCTGAGTGCAATTGCAGGCACTTTTTAGGTGTAGTCAGGGAAAGTCTCTGAGAACGTACCATTAAAGCTAAGCCCTGAAGCATGAGTAGGTGTTGATTAGGAATAGCAGAGATGGGATTGGCAGCCATTCAAAAGTACAGGAAGGAATAATGGTAATTTTCTTTCCCCTTCTCCTTTTTCCCCTTTCATAAAATAATTACAGAGCTCCTAAGGATGAGATATATTAAGATGAATATGACATAGATCTGTCCTGAAGAAGCTCAGAGTCCAGTATGTAAATAATTACAATAATGCATTATATAATCTTATTCCCTGTTGTAAGATTGAGTATGCCATTGTGTGAAAGTGAAGATAACCTTAAAAACATTCCAGCTTGGTAGAGGATACAGACATATAAATGATGGCAAAAGATATGGAAGATACTTTTATAGAGTATATTGAAGATACTGTGGTGACAGAAAAGAGAGAGTAGTCAGTTATTCTTGGAAGGAGGGCCACAACATTTCACAGAAGAGATGCTTGAATTGACCTCTAAAGTGAGTCAACGTTCTCCTTTGGTTCAACTTTCTCTGCCTGGGTAACTGCTTCTCATTCTTTAATATTATTTTCCATAGATATATATGCTGGGAGAACTAATTTTAAATTTCTACCACAAAGGTCTCTTTAAGTTTTAGACCCACATTTCGAATTCTTTGCTAGAAATCCACACTGGGGCCGGCCCAGTGGTATAGTGGTTAAATTCGAGTGCTCTGCTTCGGAGGCCCAGAGTTCACAGGTTTGGATCCTGGGCGCACACCCAGCACTGCTCTTCAATCCACACTGTGGTGACATCCCTCATAGAATAGAGGAAGACTGGCACAGATGTTAGCTCAGTGACAATCTTCCTCAAGCAAAAAGAGTAAGATTAGCAACAGACGTTAGCACAGGGCCAATCTTCCTCAAAGAAAAAAAAGAAAGAAAAGGAAAAGAAATCTGCACCTTTGATGGCCCTCAGCACGCTGAACTCACTCTGTCCAAAACGAAACTAATTATGTTCTTTCAATAGTCCTCCCTCCACAATCCTAAAATCTGTGAACAATACCCAATTCCCATATCAGAAACGTTTGAGTTGTTTCAGATTATATCTTTTTTATTTCCCCTTCTTCTCCAAACAGTTGACCCTCATCATATTCTATTGATTCCCCTCAAAAGTTATCTCAACTCTAGCCTACCTACTTTTATTTCAACATTTGTTGCCCTATATCTATACCCTCAACATTTCCTTCCTAGACTATTGCTATAGTATTAGCATCGTAACTGGTTTCTCTGCCTCTGATACTTCTCCTTTTAGTACATCCTCTTCCCTTACTGTGTAAAAAAGTGGCTCTCAAACTTTTTGGATTCAGGAATTCTTTACACTCTTAAAAATTATCGAGGACCTCAAAGAGCTTGTGTTTATATATATTGATTATATCCTTAGTATTTACCATATTAGAAATTAAAACAATTTTTAAAAATATTTATTAATTATTTGTAAAGTAACAGTAAACCCATTGTTAACATATTTTTACGGACTGAACTGTGTTCCCTCCAAAATTCATATGGTGAAGCTCTAACCTGTTATGTAACTATATTTGGAGATAGGACATTTAGGAGGTAATTGAGCTTAAATGAGGTGGTTAGGGTGGGGTCCTAATCTGATAGGATTGGTAGGTTTATAAGAAGAGGACGAGAAAGAGTTCAATTTCTCTCTCCTCTCTGTAAGGAGACATGTAAGGACACAGAGAGAAGGCAGTCATCTGTCAGTCAAGAAGAGAGGTCTCACCAGGACCTGATCATGTTGGCACCCTGATTTTAGACTCTCAGCTCTCAGAACTGTGAGAAAATAAATCTCTGTTGTTTAAGCCACCCAGTCTATGGTATTTTGTTATGGCAGCCTGAGCTATTACAAAAAATAATTGTATTTTCCAAAACAATGTTTTACATTTGTTTAAATCTCTTTAATGTCTAACTTAATAGAAGACAGCTTATTTTGATATCTACTTCTGCATTGTCTTTTGTGATATGTTGTTTTGGTTGAAGTATATGAAGAAAATCTGGTCTCAGACAGATATGTAGTTGGAAAAGGGAGGATATTTTAATAACCTTTTCAGAAAATTATGGATATTCTTTTTTGACAGTATACCAAAACTCACTAAGAGGTACTTTCTTAAAGTTTAGTTGCCATGTGGCATCTGAAGCTATACCAATGAATTTTTCATGCTCTGTTACCTTAAAATCCATTGGTATATCTTACGTTTTGAACAAGTCTTACATAATTTTATACCATCGTGCATTGATCATTTAGAAAATACTTATTCAATGAGTTATGCCTATCTTCCAAATGTTGACATATTTTATTGTATAATTTTTGAGAATCACATTTGTTAATATCACCACCAATCTCACAGAAAAGCCTTCAAGTATTGGGAAATTGCCAGGCTTGCTGTAGCAGATACAGGTTTTTCAAAATTCTAATATTTACTTTAAAGCTATGCTCTGTGATTTTATGATACTTCCTCTGCTTATCTGGCAACCTTCTGCTCATCTTTTACAGTGATTCAATGTTAGTTCAAATACCACCTCCTTTCTAAAGCCTTCCCTCATTTCCCAGAGCAAAATTAATCACTTTTCTAAATTCTTAGACTCATACGCCTCCCAAAACTGAACCAAGAAGAATTAGAGAGTCTGAAGAGACCAATGACAAGTAAAGAGATTGAAACAGTAATCAAAAACTTCCCCCAAAATAAAAGCCCGGGACCAGATTGCTTCTCTGGAGAATTCTACCAAACATTCAAAGAAGATTTAATACCTATCCTTCCCAAACTATTCCAAAAAATTGAGGAAGGCAGAATACTTCCTAATACATTCTACGAGGCCAACATCCCTGATACCAAAGCCAGACAAGGAAAACACAAAGAGCGAAAATTACAGGCCAATATTGCTGATGAACATAGATGCAAAAATCCTCAACAAAATATTGGCAAACCGAATACAGCAATACATCAAAAAGATCATACACCGTGATCAAGTGGGATTTATATCAGGGACACAAGGATGGTTCAACATCTGCAAAACAATCAATGTGATATACCACGTTAACAAAATGAGGAATAAAAACCACATGAGTATCTCAGTAGATGTAGAGAAGGCATTTGACAGGATCCAATATCCATTTATGATAAAAACTCTCAATAAAATGGGTATAGAAGCAAAGCACCTGAACATAATAAAGGCCATATATGACAAACCCACAGCCAATGTCATACTGAACAGTGGAAAACTAAAAGCCATCCCTCTGAGAACAGGAACAAGACAAGGGTGCCCACTCCTACCACTCTTATTCAACATAGTACTGGAGGTTTTGGCCAGAGCAGTTAGGCAAGAAAAAGAAATGACAGGAGCCCAAATAGGCAATGAAGAAGTGAAACTCTCGCTGTTTGCAGATGGCATGATTTTATATATAGAAAACCCTATAGAATCCATTGGAAAACTATTAGAAATAATCCACAATTACAGCAAAGCTGCAGGGTACAAAATCAACTTACAAAAATCAGTTGCATTTCTATATTCTAAATAACTAACAGAGAACTCAAGAATAAAACTCCATTTATAGTGGCAACAACAACAAAAATATCTAGGAATAAATTTAACCAAGGAGGAGAAAGACCTATACAATGAAAACTATAAGACATTATTGAAAGAAATCGATGATGACATAAAGAAATTGAAAGATATTCCGTGCACATGAATTGGAAGAATAAATATAGTTAAAATGTCCATACTACCTAAAATAACCTGCAGATTTAATGCAATCCCAATCCGAATCCCATTGAATTCTTCATGGAAACAGGACAAAGAATCCTAAAATTCATATGGGGCAACAAGAGACCCTGAATAGCTAAAGCAATTTTTTTTTTTTTTTTTAAAGATTAGCACCTTAGCTGGCAACTGTTGCCAATCTTCCTTTCTTTTCTTTTCTTTTTTTTTTTGTGGGGGGGAAGATCAGCCCTGAGCTAACATCTGCCAATCCTCCTCTTTTTGCTGAGGAAGACTGGCCCTGAGCTAACATCCGTGCCCATCTTCCTCTACTTTATATGTGGGACACGTACCACCACATGGAGTGCCAAATGGTGCCATGTCTGCACCCGGGATCCAAACTGGTGAACCCCAGGCTGCCAAAGTGGAATGTGTGAACTTAACCGCTGTGCTACCGGGCCGGCCCCCTTTCTTTTCCTGCTTTTTTCCCCAAATTACCCCAGTACATAGTTGTATATTTTAGTTGTGGGTCCTTCTAGTTGTGGCATGTGGGACACCACCTCAGCTTGGCCTGACAAGTGATGCCATGTCTGCACCAAGGATCCGAACCGGCAAAACCCTGGGCTGCCGAAGCAGAGTGTGCAAAGTTAACCACTCAGCCACCACAGGGCTGGCTCTGCTAAAGCAATCTTGAGCAAAAAGACCAAAGCTGGAGGCATCACAATCCCTGACTTCAAAATATACTACAAAAGTATAGTAATCAAAAACAGCATGGTACTGGTACAAAAACAGATCAATGGAACAGAATTGAAAGCCCAGAAATAAAACTACACATCTACAGGCAGCTAATCTTGGACAAAGGAGCTAAGAACATGCAATAAAGGAAAGTCTCTTCAGTAAATGGTGTTGGGAAAACTGGACAGCCACATGCAAAAGAATGAAAGTAGACCATTATCTTTCACCATACACAAAAATTAACTCAAAATGGATCAAAGACTTGAAGGAAAGACCTGAAACCATAAAACTCCTAGAAGAAAATATAGGTAATACACTCTTTGGCATTGCTCTTAGAAGGATCTTTTTGGATACCGTGTCTACTTGGACAAGGGAAACAAAAGAAAAAATAAACAAGTGGGACTTCATCAGACTAAAGAGTCTCTGCAAGGCAAAGGAAACCAGGAACAAAATGAAAAGACAACCCACCAACTGGGAGAAAATATTTGCAAATCATGTATCTGACAAGGGGTTAATCTCCAAAATATATAATGAGCTCACACAACTGAACAAAAATACAACCTGATCAAAAAATGGACAGAGGATATGAACAGACGTTTTTCCAAAGAAGATATACAGATGGCCAATAGGCACTTGAAAAGATGTTTAACATCGTTAATCATCGGGGAAATGCAAATTAAAACTACACTAAGATAGTGTTTTACACCTGTTAGAATGGCTATATCACCAAGACAAAAAATAAGAAATGTTGGAGAGGATGTGGAGAAAAGGGAATCCTCAGACACTGCTGGTGGGAATACAAACTGGGAAGCTGCTATGGAAAACGGTATGGAGATTTCTCAATAAATTAAAAATAGAAATATGATATAATCCAGCTATCCCACTACTAGGTATTTATCCAAAGAACTTGAAATCAGCAATTCAAAGAGACTCATGCATCCCTATGTTCTTTGCAGCATTATTCACTATAGCCAGGAAGTGGAAGCAACCCAAGTGCCCATTGACTGATGAGTGGGTAATGAAGATGTGATATTATATATATATATATGGAATATGAAATATGGAATACTCCTCAGCCATAAAAAAAGACAAAATCGTCCCATTTGCAACAACGTGGATGAACCTTGAGTGAAATGAGCCAGACAGAGAAAGACAAACACCATATGATTTCACTCATGTGTGAAAGATTCACACACGGACAAAGAGAACAGTTTAGTGGTTACTAGAGGGGAAAGGGGTTGAGGAGTGGGCAAAAGGGGTGAGGGAGCATATTTATAGATGACTGACAAATAAGAATGTACAACTGAAATTTCACAATGTTATAAACTATTATGACCTCAATAAAAAAAATAATCACTTCCTTTTTTCCTCTCGGATCAGTGTATCTCTACTATAGCACTTATCACACAGATTAGTGGTGGTTTACATGACTAACTCTCGTGCTGCATTTAATTCAGTTAAACAAGCTAGTTCCAAATCCTGTGCTAGGTTCCAGGAATACAAAAATGATCAAAGTTTTAAGGACTCATATTTCAAAGGGAGAAACTGAAAACCAAACAGATAATCAGATTGTAAGATGGTAAGTGCTGTAATTGAATTATGAACCATATGCTCTGGACACAGAAATAAGAGAATCACTAGATTTAATTGTATGTTGTGTGACAGCAGCCTTATTGATGCCTTATTTATCTTTGTGCTCTCTGTGGCTAGGACTGTGATTAGCATATGGTGACTATGCAATAAATGTTGGTTAAATTAGGGTTTAACTGCATTTGATTAAACTCTCTCATTTCCCCCCTTTTTCCCTTTGTTTTTTAGAATGCAAGGTATGGAGAAACCCTCTAAATCTTTTCAGAGGAGCAGAATATAGGAGGTATTACATTTTGCTTTCAGTATAATTATGGCATTGGTTTTAGAGTGAACGTGTTATGGAAACATTGGTTTTTATAAATATATCACAGCTCTTCCAATTGGAGATACTGATGTATAATAAGGAAAATGATTAGCCCAAGGTTTACTTGGCAGCATCTTGACTGTATTTACTTTTATAATCAGGATAAACATTGCTTCAAACCGTATGTTTGTGATACATAATATGTATACATTTGGCCCCTGGTTTATGGCAGAAAGCCTTTTCAAATAATTCATGAGATTAAGAAAAAATTACAAATGTCAGCATGTTCCTATGCATATGTGCTCATTTTAAAAATTTATTTGAGGATTCGCTAGGAAATATCAATATGAATATGAGCTTTATTTGTGCAACAGTACAGGATGTACTGTTTTTATACTGTATTTTATATTGCCATTTCCTGTCTGCACTACTGTGTCGTTTCTCTTCCAGTTTTTACTCTAAACAAGAAAACATCTTTTGAAACTTATAACCAAAGATACTTTACTTTTGTTTTGAGAAGTCTGTGTTTTACCTGGATGTAGACTGGGGCATGTTATTTAATTTATTGAACAAGAAACATTGCGTGTCAACTATGTATGGGCACTGTGCAAAATGATAGGGATACAAAATGATCAAGCAGTAGTCCCTGTGCTTAAGGACTTGATAATGTAGGACATTCACATCCTGGGAAGGGAAAGCTAGTCTTTGGTGAGAGATGCTATTAGCCTGTATTAAGGGATTCTGCAAGAAACAGATCCTTGAACTTCTCACAGTGTTTATTAAAAAGTTTTTAGGCTATTCCTTGTTAGGTGATACGGTGTCCACTTCATGAAGATCTTAAAGAGAAATTTCTTATCTTAGTATCAGGAACACTTATGCTTCTTTTTGAATGATTAGTTTATCTTTACATAAAAGTCTAGGTTGCATTGGTAATCATCGTGTGGTTCTAGAAAGCTTAAAGTCATATTGTAGCCAACCTTACCAAGTGCATAGAACTCTTTGGTATGCGTTTCATATGGTAGCTTCATTCCAGGCTCTGTTTCATGGCCCAAGCCTTGTTTCTACTTTACTGAGGCTTTTTTATTTACTTCTAATTTAGGTGATTGATATTGTACATTACGTTTTTAACTGCTTAAATCATTTTGGGAATAATGTAGATTGTTGATAAATAATTTTTTATGGTTTTAGAATGTGTAGCAAAACTTTACTAAGTGAACAAGGATTTGTGTGTTTTTTCCTTCATGATAATTTCTCACAAAATAGCAAAAACTTTAAATGGCAAGGCAACTTACACTATTAAATAACTTAAAATCATTGATTGTATATGTGAATAACACATATAATGTGCTTTTTAAATGCTTATTTTTGTGGTTATAAAATGTATGCATGTCCGTTGTATAAAATTGGAAAATAAAGAGAGGTATAAAAGAGAAAGTAAAAATCGCCATTTGCTACCACTAAGTAACAACTGCTAATATGTATTTCCAGCCAGTCTCTCTTCTATATGCATATATAGAGATAAAACTTGAACATCATAATGTATATAAAGTTTTACGTCCTTTTTTTCTAACACAGTGTGTGAATTTCCCACAGAATTTCTTCAAAATATGAATTTCTTCAAAAAACATGATTTTTAATGGTTGTACTATATTCTATTACAGGGAGGTACCTTAAATCACCTACTGCTCCCCTATCTGGGTCACAGATTATATTTCGCTGTTAACATTTACACTAGAGGGAAATCTTTATGTATATATATAAATATTTAGCCACATCTATGATTATTTCCTTAGAGTTGATTTGTAACACTAGGATTACTGAATCAAAAGGTGTGAACAGTTTTTTTTCTTCCCTTTAATCTTTTCTTTTTTTAATTATGGAAAATTTCAAAAATAAACAAACGTAGAGAGAATTACTGTTCCATATACCAATTCCCTAGCTTTCTGTGAATATTTTTAAGACATCTGATAGATATTCCCTAATTGGTTTCTGGAACGAGACGTGTAAATGCCAATTTACATTTATACTAGCAGTATGTGTGAGTCTGTACCCCACCTCACCCTTGACAACGTGCTGTATTAGCCGATTTGATAGGTGAAAAGTAAAAATATTTTAATTTGTTATTTGTTAATTACTAATGGAATTGGACAGTTAAAAATGTATTTATTAGCCAGTTTGTTAACTTGAAATTAATTATTGTGGGTTTCAGGGGAATCTGAAAGCTTAAATTTATAGTTTAGTAAAATCTAGAAGAAGTTTCTCTTAGCTTTAATGCTTTGAAAGCCCTTTACGATCTTGACATCTGGTGAAAATCCCTATGTTTCCTCCTAGTGTCTTTCTAGTTTTACTTTTACTATTTAATTGTAACTCACTGAGAATATTTAAGTGTGTTTAATAAGGTATATATCTAAGTCAAATTGTTTTATCCCTTCAAATCCAATTTTGAAGCATTGTCTATTGAATAATCTAGGCTTTTGCTTTTTGGTTTTTGATGTTTTATCATCATACTCTAAGTAGTTTGTATGGGTTATCTCTTTTGTTTTACTGATTATAATAAGCCTTTAAAACATCCTGAAATAGAGTTTGTAGCAGTTTATTTCTGAAATTTAAATAATGTCTGTTATAGCAGACAGATGCTTTCTCATCTTGAATTTGCCTGTTCTCTTGTGTTTTGGTAAAGATACACTTGGGTGACTGGTAAAGAGCCTCTTACATACTATGACATGAATTTGTCAGCTCAGGACCATCAGACTTTTTTCACCTGTGACACGGACTTTTTACGTCCTTCAGACACAGGTACGTGTCATATCTGTGCATGGGGTAAAACGGTAGTCATGAGAATTATTTTTAAAGTTCTTTAGAGTTATTTGTTATAATATACAAAGTTATTTGGCTTGGAGTTGTTTGCATCACTGATAAGAAACCCAGATTAAATTGAAACTAACTATGATTGTAAGCTAGATTGTTATACTGCCTTTTCCTCTTATAAAGTATTTTATAAAAATATTAAATAGCTTCTTTTATTGCTTAAAAAACCTTTCAGATCAAACATGGCAACTGCTTATGCAGAGAACAGTGTACCCACTTTTGGTCTGGGAAATTAACACCTGCGATTATACATAAAAGAAAAGAGTAAGACAAAGTGTAAACATTGGGGAATGGCACGTAGAGAAAAATGGGGTATATTTTATTCCAGTTGTAAGTTAGAGATGCATGTACAGTGGTGGAAGATCATAGAAATGTCTATGTTTGGTACTCTCTAAGCTCTTCTCTGTAGAAGAGAGTATTGAGACTCTTAAATGTACCACTTAGAGACAGGGATCTTTATCACAACTATTCTACTTTGAACGCGCTCTTCCTTCTTACTTATCCATCTACTTTTATCCCTCCTACTTTTATCCTTTAAGATCCAAATTAAAAGCCACGTTCTCTAGGAAGCCTTCTCTGGGATCTCCTGTCAGAGTTAAACACTTTCTTCTCTGTGGTTCTACAGTACTTAGTCCAGACCTCAGTGAAATAATTTTAGTTAATTTGTTCAACCACAAATATTTATTTGTTAATGTTATCATGTTGCTTTAATATTTGTCCTCCCTAATAGGGTGTGAAACTTTGGAAAGCAGGGACTATATTTGTCATGTTTCAATCCCTATCATCTAGCACATTGCCTGGCATACTGTAAATATTAATATTTATTCTTTGATGAAAATACAAATGAATAAATTACCTTGGTGTCACAGATGCCTTAAACAATTTGACTAGTAAAAGCTAACACTTGTATAACACTTATTATGCACCAAGCACTATTCTAAGCAATTTATATAAATATACTAATTTAATCTTCCCAATCATTTTGTAAGATAGGTGCTGTTATCAGCCTCATTTTAAAAATAAAGGAGGGGCCAGCCCGGTGGTGTAGCAGTTAAGTTCACACATTCCACTTCGGCAGTCCAGGGTTTGCCAGTTCAGATCCTGGGTGCAGACCTACTCACCACTTGTCAAACCATGCTGTGGCAGGTGTCCCACATATAAAGTAGAGGAAGATGGGCACAGATGTTAGCTCAGCGTCCCACATAAAATAGAGGAAGATGGGCATGGCAGTTGGCTCAGGGCCAGTCTTCCTCAGCAAAAAGAGGAGGATTGGCAGCAGATGTTAGCTCAGGGCTAATTGTCCTCAAAAAATAAATATGTAAAGAAAAATAAAGGAACTGAGGCAAAGGGGAATCCAGTAACATGCCCTAAGTCACCTAGCTAATAAATGATAAAGTTGGGTTTCAAACTCAAGTCTGGCTCTTAACCACTACACTATTGCTGCGTCTCCTCACCACATGGATATGCGGAAGAAAACCACCAACAGTAAGGGTCTGAAAAATAGCTAATTTTCTGCCACTGAAGTGAGTTCATTGTGATACACCTCTGCTGGATTAAATATATTAAGTGTAGATGGTAGCAGGAAACCCAAGGATCTTTGGTGTGGTTTCATGAAATGGTTTAATTGCAAAAAGGAGAAAAAGGAATTGCTTTATGTTTATATGCTTAATGTTTATATTAATGGCAAAAGTGTAGGTGTTGGGGAAGTAAGCAGTGGAAAATCAGTATTGTGTGTTAACTTTAAGGACTGAGATGACTGGAAATTAAGGCTTCACCTCCTTCTCACAGGTAGAATTGCAGTCATTGGCAGTCTTTTCAAGTAGCAACTATGACTATCCACCAAAGCTGTGGTCTTAAAACACTTTTGTTCAGGACCAGCCCGGTGGTGCAGTGGTTAAGTTCACACCTTCCACTTCGGCAGCCCAGGGTTCATCAGTTCAGATCCTGGGTGCCGACCTACACATTGCTTGTCAAGCCATGCTATAGCAGGTGTGCCACATGAAATAGAGGAAGATGGGCATGGAAGTTAGCTCAGGGCCAGTCTTCCTCAGCAAAAAGAGGAGGATTGGCGGTAGATGTTAGCTCAGGGCTAATCTTCCTAAAAAACTAAAATGAAATAAAAAAATTAAAAAATTAATTAAGGGATTTTGATGTATGAGGACCTAAGAGGAGTTGACAGGTCACATGGTCTCTGAAAGCACAGGGCTGGCAATCCATTTAAAAAAAAAACATTAAAACATTTTGTCCTAAAAGAATTTTGAAAAACTATGGATCCCTTCACACATTTTTAAATTGACATTATAAGGTTAAATAATTGCAAAGAATGTAATTTTCAACATATTATAAATATAGACATTTAAAAATAAAACTAGAATACGCTATATTTAAATGTATCTCAAGAATCTAATGATTTGATAGCTACCATTATCCATTGAAAAATACATGAACAAGTACTCTTTAACAGTAGTTAATTTTATATAAGACCTTTTTCTTCTTGAACTCATATTCATTCCACAACTCTATATGATTTTATTATAATTATTTTATATTTGAGTCTTTTATTTATCATGCTTATATGGTTTTCCACAATAAAATCTTTTGTATACATTTTAAAAAATTTAAATATCTTTGATAATAAGGTTCTAAATGGTATCATATACTTTATATTTTTGTCAAATCCTTGGAGATACATATTTGGCTCTTTCAACTTTGGAAAATGTCCTCCATATAATCTGATTGGCTGGGTGAGTTCTCATTGTCAATCCTATCAGTCATATCAGACTTACTTTCTGGCAGAGAAGTCTGACTTCATTTTTCTTTCGTTTTTTTTTTTTTGAGGAAGATTAGCCCTGAGCTAACATCTGCTGCCAATCCTCCTCTTTTTGCTCAGGAAGACTGGCCCTGAGCTAGCATCTGTGCCCATCTTCCTCTACTTTATATGTGGGACGCCTGCCACAGCATGGGTTGCCAAGCGGTGTGTAGGGCCCATACCCGGGATCCAATCTGGTGAACCCTGAGCCACCAAAGCGGAACGTGCAAACTTAACCGCTCCCGCCACCAGGCTGGCCCCATCATTTTTCAATTCAAATAAACATGTTAACATGCATCCCCATGACAACCATCTCCCTTCTGAATTCAGATTCTAAGATAGAAAGATAGATAAGTCTTGGAGCTTTCCCTCGAGCTTATCACTTCTCCAAAATAAGATTCCACCGCCTTTATTATCCCTTACTAATGCCCTGTTTGCCTTATTGTATGGGGACCTTCCCTTAGGAGCAATGCATTCTTTGATAGTAAAAGGAGAGGGGTACTGAAAATAGAACTGATAAAAATTGTTATCACTCTCTTCTCACTCTACAATATACTTGAACTCAGCATATCCAGAGGCCAAAACTCTAAGGCGAGCTTCACTGTTAAATAAGTAAAAGGCAGGAATCCCTATTATAGGTGCCTTGATTTAAAATGGCTGCCCCCAAACCTGAATTTGAATTGTTCCTTTGGCCGCTGGAGATTTTTACGCTCTAGGGCAATGCACCTTGGAAAGATTCAGGATGGGTGAGAAGTAAGCCTTTCTTTTGTAAAGTAGGAGAAAGGATGATATCTTTTGAGGAGTAGGGGAGTGGATTTTGGTTAGGAAAGGGAAGTCAGCATGATGCATAGACCAATCAGAGGAAGATTCTTAAGGTAAATCAGTTATAGGAAAGAGTCATATAAAGTTGAGGCTTTAAAAATTGATTCTTTTAAAATCATGCATCCCATTTTGGTCTTTGCAAAGTTTCATGTACTTCTAGAGGTGTGCATAATCCCAGCTAAAGATTGAACTCAAGGATAGACTTTATCTGTGAATGATAACCCAGAAATGGACTGTTGATTCCATAATGATCTTTTCAGACAGTCATATAAAGGTAATGTTTAAAGCTGTAGTTTTATATTAAAAAAAGACAAATGTGTATATATGTGTGATGTGACAAATTTCTCTTGACTATTGTCATCAGTAATTAATAAATTAGTAGATTTTGTTTTACTCCTTGATTTGTTTATCTAAGACAGAGAACAAACATATCTTCAAGGCCAGACAGTGATGTTTTTTGGATAATTTGTATTCATAGTATTTCTTTTTTCAACACTTAAAAATCAGGAAATTAGCATTAAAATCCAGATTTCTTCTTCTTCTTCTTCTTTTTTTTTTTTTGGTGAGGAAGATTGGCCCTGAGGTAATATCTGTTGTCAATCTTCCTGTTTTTGCTTGAGGAAGATTATTGCTGAGGTAACATCTGTGCCAATCTTCCTCTATGTAGTATGTGGGATGCCGCCCCAGCATGGCTTGACAAGTGGTGTGTAGGTCTGTACCTGGCTCCAAACTCGTGAACCCCAGGACACCAAAGCGGAGCACATGAACTTAACCACTGCACCACTGGGCTGGCCCCTGGATTTATACTTTTTGAAAGTTGGAAAATACGGCAAAACTGGACCTGCATTTCGGCTTGGCAGCAATCACTTAGAGCTGAGCTGTGACTCTCTTTTAGACAGTGCATGTGCTTTTCACTCATTTATGTTTTCTCCTGGTCTTTAGAGGCATTTATATTTGTGACCCTGACCTTGGGATAAATGCTAATCTCTTTTCTGCTTGTTAGCATATTGGAGTATTATTTAACTTGAAAAATAGGTAAATTTGATTGAATTGCTAACAGCTTGTATTATTTTTTAAAGCATATTAACAGTTCTTAAACAGAACAGTTGAATACTAAATCAGCATTTTGCTTTAAATTATTCCTTAACCTTGTTTTAGAAAGAAATAGATATTTTTCTCCCTCTACTTTATTTCCCTTTCTCCTTTGGCTTAGAATTGCATAGGTTGTGAGGAATAATCCTGAAAGGCTGGATAGAGCCATTGAAAACATAAGAATAAGAAAAAATGCTTAATGGTGCATTTGATGACCTTACTAGAAATATAAGAATTGGAAATGGAAATGAGATAGTTTTCGTGTTTTAGCAAATGATACTCCTCAGTGTTGGTAAGGAAGTAGGGAAACAGTCACTCTCCTTCACTGCCTGAAAGAATGTAAATTAATACAATTTTATTTAGAGGAGTTTGGGAGTATATATCCAAAATCTTTTAAAAGATGCATATATTTTAACCAACTATTCTACTTCTAGAAAGGAAATATTTGGTCACATATGCAAAGATAGATGTTGAAAGATGATTAACACAATATTTCTATATTAGTAAAATTTGGGTGTAACTTAATTGTCCATCAAAAGAGAATTGGTTAGATAAATTATGATACGTACTTAATGTAGAAGAATACCAAATAACCATTTAAAATATTGGTAAAGATTCAGTATCAGAACTTGCCTTGTAAATATCACGTAACTTATAGAAGAGAGCCTCATCATCAAAAATGGCAAGTCTAACATTATACTTGATTTTTATGTACTATTTTAATGTTACAGCAAAATGCTATTCTTTACCTGGTTATGATCAGATGAGTGGTGACTTACATCAGTTTGTCAAGTTCAGGAAGCATTAGCTATCAGCTAGCTGGTGACACGTTTGATATGAGAAATGTATTTTTGTTACACATATAGAATATATTGTCTCCTTTTCTAAGCCAAGACTAATATTTTGTTTCCAAAGGAAAACTCAAACATTTTCCACATTATTCTTTCTGGACAGTTGTAGGTTTTGTTCCAAAAGCAACATTCATAAATTCTCTATTTTTCTTATCAAACTTGAAATAGGCCAGATAGTTTCATGAATCTAGTTTGTTTATTTGTTTGTTTAATTTTTTGAAAACTTTATTAGTGTGAAATTTCAGTTTGGTACAGTAAATGGTAGCAAAACTGCTATTGTTATTCCAGAGAGATTCTAATTATGGCTTTTGTTGAATCTTGGTAGAGACTCTCATTTTTCACAAATGTACTATATTCTGAATTAATTTTTTGCCCCTTTTTATACAAATTGCAAACTCAAACATTCTTCCTAGATCAAATAATTGATTAGACAAAGACTTTGTTTTTAAGTCTCTTGTATATTTTCAGCAGTTTTGTAGAACCTTTTCAAAATGATGAAAGAACTAGAATATTTCACAGATTATAATCTGATGTCACTCAAACTCAATTTTAATATGCATTTAGATATATAAATATTCCTGTATAATAATGATGTAATTAACTTAAGTATCTTATATGTTGTTATTCAAATAAATCAGAGAAAGAATATATTTATTAAATATGAAGCTTCCAAATTTAATGTAAATTTCTCATAACATTAATGTGAGCTAGCACCCCAATTTCTTGTTTCTTATGTTTAAGAACATGTTATTTAAATCTTTGTTTTCTCTCCTAGCTCATTTGTCATGCATTTTGCATAAGATTATTTATGTTTACCATCTCATCTACTTTTTGAAATATTTTTTCTACAGTTATGCAGAAGGCATGGAGGGAAAGAAATCCTCCAGCTCGAATCAAAGCAGCCTATCAAGCTTTAGAATTAAACAATGAGTAAGTTTGGAATATATGGAAACTAAGTTTGTTTGGAAGGAAACTCAGGCAAATGATTTTATGTTTCCTTTTGTCTGTTTCTAAGACATGTGGAGTTGTTAGCAGCCCCCTTTCTCTTTTTGTGTAGTAGAGACAAATTTGCAGTGTTTACTGACATGTATTTTGCTTCTGAAATGATAAGCTTATCTATCCTTTTGAATAGAAATTATACTAGAAATACTTTTTAAAGTGAAGAATGCTGATCTAATTGGTGATAATACTAGATAGAGTACTAAAATACTTATGCCACCTGCTTTAATTTTGTTTTTCATTTAAATCATTCATTTAAAGCATTCATTCAGTCCTGAGAACTTTAGTTGCTAATAGGATTGGAGGCATGAGAAGGGGATTCAAAATAAGTAAAATATAGCTCTAACTGAATTTTTTTTCATGTTAACAGCATTTATTTTTTATAGTTCTTTGTATCAACTTTATATTTTGAAGAAACAAAATGTAAAATCGTTAAGTCAACTTAATATTTAAAGGGAACAGGTTAATAAGTATTAATCTAATACTAAATAAATGCCAAGAGTAAAAATATGGCCACAGTTGGGATTAATCAAGGAATACTTCCTTAATAACGTGAATTTAGCATTGTCCCCTATGTCTCTCCCCTCACCAATATATTATCCTTATTAAGAAGACCATCCAAGGTGGAACAAAAATGGCGGTGTAAGGAACTCCATAACAGTGAATCACCTTTATTCAAAGTCTGGAAACTAATCAAAAGTTTATAGCAGGGGCCAGCCCAGTGGCCAAGTGGTTAAGTTTGCAAACTCCACTTCGGTGGCCCAGGGTATCACTGGTTCGGATCCTGGGTCCGGACATGGCACCACTCATCAGGCCATGTTGAGGCGGTGTCCTACCTGCCACAGCTAGAAGGACCCACAACTAGAATATAGCAACTAGGTACTGGGGGGATTTGGGGAGAAAAAGCAGGAAAAAAAAAAAGAAGAAGATTGGCAACAGTTGTTAGCTCAGGTGCCAGTCTTTAAAGAAAAAAGTTTATAGCAGCCTGGAAAATACTTAATCAATTAAAAAAAAACAGTCAAATTCCTATAAGAGAGCTTTGTGATGTTTTAACTTAGACTGGCCCCATCTCCCACTCCCTAGCTCAGCAGCAGCCTTGAAGATGACAGTCTGCATTCTGGATATAGGTTCCTGCTATCAGAGGAAGTAGAATGAACCTATTTGCAAAGAATTGTGGGTGTTTATTTTGACCTGTTTGGTGGCTCCCTGAAGGACCAGCTCAAGGAGCTTGTCTTTATTTCCGTTAATTCAGAGCTCTCCCAGCACTAACACACCTACACTGTGGGGGCATTTGTTGCAATCATTTAAAGAGAAATGCATTAGCCCCTGCTGCCTGGGCCAAGGGATAAAGCTGGGGAAAACAATAGACAAACCATAAAGCTTGGGAGGAAAGGCTGGGGAATGAGATACTTTGGGAAATAAAGGCTTTGAAAAGCTCCTACATATTCCTGGGAATCTCAAAGGCCCCACACATACCCAAGGTTGGTCACATGCTCAGAAAAGACTCAAGAAGGCCCTAAGCTCTCATGTCTGTCTAACTTTCAGGTTCTGCACCACCAGAAAGTAAAGGCTAAGGCAGAGTTGTAAATTGCCTGACTGAGTGTTGAAGGTGTGCCCCAACACACACGCAGAACCCAACTTCAAAGACTTATTTTTTGTTTTGTTTTTGGTTCCAGGTATTTAAGGCAATCTCTATCAAATCACTGGCTGACCATTAAGCTAAAGGAGCAGAGACTTCACTGGTCACATATGACAGAGAGAATACAAACTTCACAAAATTAGTTCAGGAAAGTCATTAAACAAAGTATTACAACAAGCAGCAACAACGAATCCTGGGGAGGAGGGGAAATTTGATTTCTAGAGTTGCTAGATTATAATATTCAAAATTTCCAGTTTTCAACAAAAAATTACAGGACATACAAAGAAACAAAATATGCCCATACACGGGAAAGAAAGGAAATGAATAGAAACTGTTCTTGAGGAAGCCTAGACTTCAGAGTTTCTAGACAAAGACTTTAAAATATGCTCAAAGAGGTAAAGGAAGCCATGTACAAAGAACTGAAGGAAACCATGAGAATGATGTCTCACCATTAGAGAATATTGATAAAGAGGTAGAAATAATAAAAAGGAACTAAGTAGAAATTCTAGAGTTGAAAAGTATAACCGAAATAAAAAACTTCCTGTAGGAGTTCAGCAGCAGATTTGAGCAGGCAGAAGAAGGAATCAGCAGACTTGATTTAGGTCAGTTGAGGTTGCCCAGTCTGAGGAGCAGAAAATATAAAGGAATGAAGAAAAATGAACAGAGCTTAACAGACCTGTGGGACATTATTAAGCATGCTAACCTATGCATAATGGAGTCCCAGAAAGAGAAAGGGGCAGAGAGAATATTTAAAGAAGTAATGGCTGAAAAGATCCCAAATTTGGTGAAAGATATCGATCTACACATCCAAGAAACTCAATGGACCCCCAAGTATTATATACTCAAAGACATCCACAATGAGACAAACTATAATTAAGCTTTCAAAAGCCAAAGACAAGGAGAGATTTCTGAAAGCAGCAAGAGAAAATTGACTCATCACATATAAGGGATCTTCAATAAGATTAATAACTTAGTTCTCATCAGAGACCATAGAAGCCAGGAGGGAGTGGGATGACAAAATTCTGAAAGAAAGAAAACTGTCAGCTAAGGATTCTATATCCAGCAAATTTATCCTTCAGAAATGAAGGAGAAATTAAGACATTCCCAGATAAACAAAAACTGAGAGAGTTCATTGCTAGTGGATCTGTCCTATAAGGAATTCTAAAATTAGCCCTTCAGGCTGAAATAAAAGGATACTAGATAAGACTCTACACAAAGCAATAAAGAACACCATTAAAAGTAACTACTTAAGTAAATATAAAAGTCAATATTAATGCAGTTTTAGTTTGTAATGCTTTTCTTCTATATGATTTAAAAGACAACTATGTAAAATAATAATTACAAATTTATGTATGATGGACATACAATTTATAAAGATGTACTTTGTGACCTTAATAACATAAGGAGTGAGGGAAGAGCTATATAGGAGCAAAGTTTTGTATACTATTGAAAGTAAGTTGGTATTAATTCAAACTAGATTGTTATAAATTAAGATGTTAAATATAATTGTTAACTGTTAACCACTAAGAAATAACTAAAAAATATATGGTAAAAGAAATAAGAAGGGAATCAAAATGATATACTAGAAAATATCTATCTAACACAAAAGAAGGCAGTAATGCCAGAAATGAGGATAAAAATGATAGGACGTATAGAAAACAAATAGGAAGAGATGCAACATATAGAAAACAAAGAGGACAGAAACAAGTCCTTATTATTAGTTACTTAAATGTAAGTAGATTAAACTCTCCAGTTAACAGGCATTGATTGGCAGAATGGATTAGAAAACATAGTTCAACTATATACTATCTACAAGAGACTTGCTTTAGATACAAAGATGCAAGGAAGTAGAAAGTAAAAGTTTGGAAAAAGATATTCCATGCAAATGGTAACCAAAGAGTGAGGGAGTGGCTAAACTAATATCAGACAAAATAGAGTTTAAGACAAAAATTTTATAAGACACAGAATGACGTTAAGTAGTGATAAAAGAGGTTCACTCCATCAAGAAGATATAATAAGTATAAACTTATATGTATCTAATAACAGCCCCAAAATGTGTGAAGCAAAAGCTGACAGAATTGAAGGGAGAAATAGACAGTTTAACAATAATAGGTGGAGACTTCAATAATGAATAGAATAACTAGACAAAAGATACACAAAGAAGTAGAAGACTTGAACAACACTATAAACCAATTAGACCTAACAGACTTCTATGTAACACTCTGCAACAACAGTAGAATACACATTCTTCTCAAGTGTACATGGAACATTCTCCAGGATATGCCATAGTTAGGACCTAAACAATTCTCAGTAAATTTAAAAAGATTGAAATCATATGAAGTATCCACTCTAACCACAGTGGAATGAAATTAGAAATCAATAACAGAAGGAAATCCAGAAATGTCACAATATTAGACTATGTGGAAATTAAACAACAGACTCTTAAACAAGGAATCAAAGAAGAAAACACAAGGGAAATTAGAAAATACTTTGGGATGAATGAAAATGAAAATACAGCATACTAAAACTTATGAGATACAGCAAAAGCAGTGCTCAGAGGCTAATTTATAGCTGTAAACACCTATATTAAAAAAGAAGATCTCAAATCAATAACTTTATAACAACTATAAAATGAAGAACCAACTAAACTCCAAGCAAAAGAAAGGAAGTATTAAAGATTAAAGTGAGATCAACAAAATAGAGAATAGAAAAACAGTAGAATCAATGAAACCAAAGATTGGTTTTTTAAAAGATCAACAAAATTGGCAAACTTTTAGCTAGACTGACCAATTAAAAAAGAGAGAAGACTCAGATTGCTAAAATCAAGAATGAAACTGGGGGTCAGGAGCCGGCCCTGTGGCCAAGTGGTTAAGTTCATGCACTCCACTTCGATGGCCCAGGGTTTCACCGGTTTGCATCCTGGGTGCGGACATGGCACCACTCATTGAGCCGTTCTGAGGCAGCATCCCACATGCCACAACTAGAAGGACCCACAACTAAAAATATACAGCTATGTACTGGGGGGCTTTGGGGAGGAAAAAAGGAGAAAAAAAGGAAAAATAAAATCATTTGAAAAATAAAAGAATGAAACTGGGGACATTACTACTGACCTTACAGAAATTAAAAAGATTATAAGAGGATACTGTGAACCATTGTATGCCAGCAAATTAGATAACTTAGATAAAATGGACAAATTCCTTGAAATGTACAAACTACCAAAACTGACTCAAGAAGAAATACAGAATCTGAATAGACCTGTAACAACTGAAGAGATTGAATCAGTAATTTTAAAACTTTCAAAGAAAGCCCAGGACCAGATTGCTTCACTGGTGAATTCTATGAAGGACTTAAAGAATTAACACACATCCTTCTCAAACTCTTCAAAGAAATAGAAGATGAAATAATTCTTTCTGACTCATTCAATGAGGTCAGTATTATCCTCATACCAAAACCAGACAAAGACATCACAAGAAATGAAGGCTACAGACTAATACCTGTTTTGAATAAAAGTGTAAAAATCCTCAACAAAATACTAGCACACCAAATCCAGCAGCATGTTAAAATAATTGTACACCCTGACCAAGTGGGATTTATCCCAGGAAGGCAAGGGTAGTTTAACATATGGAAATCAGTCAGTGTAAGCCACCACATTAAATAGAACAAAGGAAGAGAACCACACAATCATCTCTATTTATGCAGAAAAAAGTATTCAACAATTTCCAATACCAGTTTATGATAAAAACACTAAAATCAAGGAATGGAAGGAAACTTCCTCAAACTGGTAAAAAGACATCTGTGAAAAACCCACAGATAACTACATATTTAATGATGAAAGACGGAAGACTTTCCCTCTAAGATCGAGAACAAGGCAAGGATGTCTGCTCTTGCCACTTCTATTTAACATGGTACTGCAGGTACTAGCCAGTGCAATTAGGCAAGAAGAAGGTAAAAAACTGGCTTCCAAACTAGAAGAGAAGAGGTAAACAATCCCTGTTCACAGGTGACATGATCTTATATGCAGAAAATCTTGAAGACTCCACACACACCGAAACTATTACAGCTAATAAAAGAGTTCAACCAAGTTGCAGGAAACGAGATAAACATATAAAAATCAGTTGTATTTCTATACAGTAACAATGAACAATCTGAACAGGAAATTCAGAAAACAATTCCATTTACAATAGCATCAAAAATATTAAAATGCTTAACAATAAATTTAACCAAGGAGGTACAAGGAAGTACACTGAAAACTAAGCATTGTTGAAAGAAGTTAAAGAAGAACTAAATAGATGGAAAGACATCTAGTGTTCATGGATTGGAAGACTTAGTACTGTTAAGATGGCAATACTCAAATTGATCTACAAATTCAATGCAATCCTATCAAAATTTCAATTGCCATTTTTGCAGAAATGGACAAGCTGATCCTAAAACTCATGTAGAATCACAAGAGACCTCAAATAGCTGAAACAATTTTGAATAAAGAAGAACAAAGTTGGAGGACTCATTTCCTGATTTCAGAACTTGCTATGGGGGCAGGCCCAGTGGCACAGCAGTTAAGTGCACACAATCTGCTTCGGTGGCCCAGGTTTGCCAGTTCGGATCCTGGGTGCGGACATGGCACTGCTTGGCAAGCCATGCTGTGGTAGGCATCCCACATATAAAGTAGAGGAAGATGGGCATGCATGTTAGCTCAGGGCCAGTCTTCCTCAGCAAAAAAAGAGGGGGATTGGCAGCAGTCAGCTCAGGGCTAATCTTCCTCAAAAAAGAAGAACTTAGTATGAAGCTAGAGTAATTAAATCATAAGGATAGACATCTAGATTAATGGAATCAAATGTAGAGTCCAGAAATAAACCGTTGTATCTATGGTCAATTGATCATTGACAAGAGTGCCAAGACCATTGAGTGAGAGAAAGAATAATCTTTTTAACAAGTGATGCTGGGCAACTGGGTAACCACATACAAAAGCATGACCCTTCCCTCACACCACACACAACAATTAATTCAAAATTAATCAAAGACATACATGTAAGAGCTAAAACTGTAAAACTTTTAGGAAAAAAAACATAGGGGCAAATTTTCATTCCTGGATTTGGCAGCAGTTTCTTAGATATGACACCAAAAATAAATGCAACAAAAGAAAAATTGGATAAATTACACTTTATAAAAAAATTAAAAGCTTTTGTGCATCAAAGGATGCTATCAGGAAAGTGAAAAGGCAACCCACAGAATGAAAGAAAATATTTGCAAGTCATATATTTAATGAGGGTCTAGTATCCAGAATATATCAAGAACTCGGCCAGCCTGGTGGTGCAGTAGTTAAGTTCACACGTTCCACTTCTCGGTGGTCCAGGGTTTGCTGGTTTGGATCCTGGGTACAGACAAGGCATCACTTGGCAAAAGCCATGCTATGGTAGGCGTCCCACGTATAAAGTAGAGGAAGATGGGCATGGATGTTAGCTCAGGGCCAGTCTTCCTCAAAAAAAAAAAAGCTCTTATAAATCAGTAACAAAAAGACAACCCAAGTAAAAATTGGCAAAGTACTTGAATAGACATTTCTTCAAAGATATACAAATGACCAATGGGCACATGAAAAGATGCTCAACATCATTCATCATTAGGGAAAAGAAAATGAAAACCACAATGAGATACCCCTTCACAAGATGGGAATAACAATAACAACAAAAATCTCCCCAGAAAATAACAAATGTTTTCAGAAATGTGGAAAAATTGGAACCCTCATACGCTGCAGGTTGGAATGTAAAGTGGTACAGCCACTGTGGAAAACAGTTTGACAGTTCCTCAAAAAGTTAAAATTAGAATTACCATGACCCAGCAGTTCTACTCCTAGACATTTCCTGAAGAGTACTGAAAGCAGGTTTTCAAACAAAAACTTTTACACAAATGTTTATAGCAGAGCCAGCCCTGATGACCTAGCAGTTAGGGTTCAGCATGCTCTGCTTTGGCAGCCTGGGTTCTGTTCCTTGGTGTGGAACCACGCCACTTGTCTGTCAGTAGCCATGCTGTGGCAGTGGCTCACATGAAAAAGAACCAGAAGAACTTACAACTATACACAACTATGGACTGGGACTTTGGAGGGGTGAAAAGGAAGAAAAAAAGAGGAGGAAGATTGGCAACAGATGTTAGCTTAGGGCAAATCTTCCCCTGGAAAAAAAAAATGTTTATAGTAATATTATAATAGCCAAAAATTGGAATCTACTCAAATGTCCGTCGCCTGATGAATGGATAAACAGAATTTCGTATATCCATACAAAGAAACATCATTCAGTCATAAAAAGGAATGGAGTACTGCTACTTGCTACATGAATGACCTTGTAAATATGTTAAACGTCCCTGAATTATACATTTAAAATGGTTAGTTTTGTTATGTGAATTTTGCCGCAATTTAAAGAAACAGCATTCCCAATAGTAAGATTCATTGAGTATTCATAAAATTAATTTTTTGTGTTAAGATCTCCACTTAAAATACTTTTGAACAAGTACAAGAAAGCTTTAAGGGAAAAGAACCTCTTTTTATCATACAGCTATACTATAATTTAAAATTATGCTAATATTTTTATTCTCCTGCATCAGTTTATACCCCTCTGATCTTTTAAAAGTGTTTTTATTTTGTTATTTAAAAGCATTTAAATTGGATTTTAGAATGGCTCTTAGGGAGCCTGGTCTTTAAAGCAGCAGTATATCTAACGCTTCAGAGCAATCCAATGTAATGCAATGGAGAAATGTCTGTTGATTAGTGAAATCTTTATATATTTCAATTTAGGGTATTATTTGAAGGATACTCAAATGATATGATTTGCATTTTCCATATCTGAAAGACCCTTTTTGTCCCCAATTGCTTGATTGCTATTTTGCCATCAGTTTTGTTTTGTGCCTGGCCTTGTACTTTTACCAATAATTTCTCTCCTCTTGTTTAAACACTGTTCAATAGAAACATAATGTAAACTATATATGTAACTTTAAATTTTCTGGTAGCCACATTTAAAAAGTAGAAAGAGGTGAAATTAATTTGAATATAGCTATATTCAAAATATTAAAATATCATTTTAACATGCATCAATATTTTTTAAAAAACTGTTAACGAATTATTCTACATTCTTCTAAATCTTGATCCGATGTGCATTTTACACTGACCATATACTGACCAGTGTGCATTTTACACATCTCTAGTGTGCATTTTACACATCTCTATTTGGACTAGATACATTTCAAGTGCTCAATAACTACATATGGCCAATGACTGTAGTACTGGGCAATGCAAGCTCAGATAATCAGAACTAGGCCATTGTCTTAGAAGATATGTACTTATTATTTCTGGGAATGGAAAGGAAACTTTGTGTTTCTCTTTTTTGCCTGAAAACAAGTTAGTTTATCCTATTAGCCAGCTTTTGACTTACAAAGAGAAACCTCTGTTTTAGCAGGGTGAAGAAAAGGAAACTTGGAGTAAGCACGGGTGTGATGAGTGAGAGTAGGAGTGTAGGAGAAAAGACTATAATTCAGACCAAGAGAAGTTTTGCTGTAGTACTATTGTGGATAAGTCCAAGAAGGGATGGGGCAGCACACAGAGAGAATACTCAGGGTTGGGAAAGAAGTCTAGTCTTGGAATCATATGTTTCTGAGTCAAATGTTAAAGGTGCCTAGTTGGCCATGGGACTTTCTTCTCAGTCGTCACCCTTAACTGCCCCATTAGACGTATATTACAGAGTGTATAGTGACTCAGAGCAGGCATGACCACTAGAATGTATAGTCCCTCGAACTACTTTTCAGGTAATTATTTATATATCTTTTTTTCTCCCCCCTTCCACAAAAGGAAAATACAGGACAAAGGGTCAGAGAATGCAAATAGAAGTAAAAAAGAAAATAAAGAGAGGGAAAGAAAGATAGGAAAGAAGAAAAAAACAAACATAAAGAATATACCAATATGCCCCTAATAAATTAAAATATTGAATGAAGTTGTTTTTCTTCTTCAAGAGATGGAAGGTGTAGGTAAAAGTGGGGAAATGTGACGTAGAGCAAAGGGACATACCCAAGAGAAAATACTTGCTTTACTGTTTTATTTAAAATTGCTTGCTTACTTCATAGCTGTGCCACTGCGTATGTTCTACTGGCTGAGGAAGAAGCAACAACTATTGTAGATGCTGAAAGGTTATTTAAACAGGCACTCAAGGCAGGAGAAACAATTTATAGGCGGTCACAGCAATGCCAGCACCAAAGTCCTCAGCATGAAGCTCAACTGAGTAAGCAAATTTGACCTGATTTTTAGCTGTCTTTTAGCTTCTGCAGTAAGCTTTTTTATGTTTAAAACACAAAACAACAACAATAAAAGTACTTTAATGCTTAGAGGTTCACTACTTTTCATAAGAGATAACTAATCTATTCATAATATCTACAAGCCAGCAGGACAGAAATATGTATTAGCTAGAGAATACTTGTGGAAGGGAACCGATCTGCCCTGGTTATGGAGAGATGTGCTGGTCTGAGATTTAACAGTAATTTATTTCATGGGAGAATTGGGCTGGTTTTTGGAGAAACACAACTCAAAAATATTCAAGATTCAGGAGAGCCTTTATCCTCATCCTTACCCCAAGCAATAGTAGAGGTATATCATTTGGTTTGCTCTTCAGATTGTATGTATCTCCATGTAGTGAGTGGCCCCTCTAGCACAAAGATCAGCCTTATACTTGGCTTTGATTCTTTGGTTGATTTTTCTCTGTGATGTGTTTGAGATCATATGGGCCATAGCAACTGAGATCCTTTTTTCCTACTAGGAATACTTTCTCAGTTATGATTGAGACACTTTTACCAAAGATGTTAGAATCTGTAATGCTGCTGCTTCCTGCTATTTTTTTGTGGCCAGAGAGTTTAGCTTCATGATTTTGGCAGATGGTGAACAATAAATTGAAATATGTTTATATAATGCATTATCTGCTAGCAATTAAGTTCTAAATCTTTTGTTTGTGAAAATTAAAATTTGGATAATGTTTTCTTTCTAAACTAAATATTGATGTATACAGTATATTTCATTAATGCATGTTGTTAAAACACAACTGTTGGAATATATAATTTTGCAGTCTGGAACTAATGAAACTACATCTGTAAAAAAGTCATGCCATTTATCCTTGTGTAATCTCAAATATGGTTGAGATAGTTACAGAAATAATTGCTAGCCCTTTCTCAAAGTAGTTTTACAGTTTGTTAGTTACTAGCTGTTGAGCAAAAGTTTACACTAGCCATGGAAATTTGGTTTTAACATCTTTTGTCACTTAAAACAATAGAGAACATTAAAATAACAGATTCTTTATGCAGAAACTTAAAATAGTAAGTTAATATTATTTTTTCCTATTAATGTATGTTTCTTTTATATTAATATTAAAATGCGCTTGTCAAGTATACACAAATTGCTTTGTATATACTGTACTCATTACTTACTGTTAGAGGCAAAAATAATTCAGTATATGTTTTTTAAGCTTTTAATATAAAAAACTTCCAACGTATACAAAAATAGAGAAAGCAGTATAATGAACTCTCATTTCAATGTTAATCTCCCAAATTCAACAATGATTAGTATTCTTCCATTCTGACACAGTTTAATTTTAATTGAAACTTCTAGGGTAAGCAAATAAAGTTAATAGATAATATATTAATGAAATAGCAAGTCATGATACAAAAGTGAAAGTTGTGTCATTTTTTGTTTTATTAAATAGGAAGAGATACCAATGTACTGGTATATATTAAAAGAAGATTGGCAATGTGTGCAAGAAAATTAGGAAGAATAAGAGAGGCAGTTAAGATAATGAGAGATGTAAGTAAATTTGATGACTGGACCTTTATATTTATTCCTCCAAAAACTGAAAATGTGGTTTAAGTTGCCAGTTATATTAATGCATAATCATTGTTTTTTAATTAGTAGTTTTTATAACAAGATATTTATTTAATATACATACATTTCTTAAGGGTTAAATCTCCACAGTTTTGTTAAGAAACAAAAGAATTTCTACTTTAATCTGAGTCAGCTCCATTGAGTTCTTTTGCTTTAATTTTAATCTTTTTTCCTTTTAATATACAGTTGATGAAAGAATTTCCTCCTCTTACCATGTTGAACATCCATGAAAATCTCCTAGAATCACTTTTAGAATTACAGGCCTATGCAGATGTTCAGGCAGTCCTAGCAAAATATGATGGTGAGTGATATCTTAGTTGATGGCATGGTTAAAGTATTTTTTTTCAATTATGTAATCATAAATGTGATCCTGTTCTGGTGTTTCTGTGACTTTCCCTTTTCATTCTTATCAGTCAGTATTTAGAAGCCATGGGTACAACCTTGCTATTAAATATTTTCTTTATCAGGACTTTTGGTAGCAAAAGCCTGCAAGGAGGAACTTTTCTTCTGTCAAGTTTTATTTGTTTGTTTATTGAGTGCCTAATATGAGTGAAGCGCTTGGAATACAACAGTGAAAAAGACATGGATTTAGCCCTCGTAGGATTTACAGTTTAGTGGAACACACAGACCAGTGAATAGTAGTTATATTGAAGCCTGGTGTGTTAGGTGAGATCACTGAAAAAGTGTGTGGTATCATGTACATAGGATGGTACCTCATTTGTTTTGAAGTGTCAGGGAAGGCTAACAGAAGTTGCTTAGCAGTATGTATAAGAGTAATTCAAAATAACATTTTCACAATGCTTTTTAGTTACACAGTGTAATTTATTCTCTCATCCCATCCTTATAATAATCTTGTGAGGTAGTAGGACAAGTAATTTTTATTATCTTCAGTTAGTAAATAAGGAAACTGGAATTGAAGAAAGTTAAGTAAATGGGTAAGGTCTTCCAGCCAGTAAGTAGCAAGCCTAAACTTAAATCCAGGTATTTTATTTCTTTGTTTACTAGTCTTCCAAATGTAAGAAATCAATATATATTGGCTGTTTTTATTATTAGAGTGTAACAATTCCAGTTTACCACAAATGGAGTTGGGAGAATTTTTAAGAAGCATACCTTTGTCATTCTGAGTGAGGCATCAGCTTTTCACCCCAAGCTGAAAATATCCTCACTACCATAATATCTTTCACTATAACGCATCTTTCACTATAACAGAACACATGTAAGTCACTTATTCACACTTGTCCTGTTGCAAGTTCCTACCCATTGACTTGGCAATCCCATGACTTGGAAAGTTTGAAATGTGTTACACTTGGAAAGAAAAGTTTATTTCTTTTAAACATTTGGAATTCTTAGGAAGTACTACCAAATAGTGCAGGTTCATGGAGAAATTTGTGAGAAAGTCTTTCCATATGTAACTTACCGGATGCATGACCTGCTTATGGTACTTATGATGAACAAGTTTAGGGACTGAATATTAAAAAAATTAGATAGGACCTGATTCATTAAAAATAAAATAAAACTAACAACTTAGATATGCCTCTATGTTTTCAGTTATTTTTATGAGTCCCCAGTTTTTTACCATTCTAGAACCCTGAAGAAGTTAAAAGCAAATTTACTTTTTTTAGTTTTCCATTTGCTGGTATAACTCTGAAATCTAAACAAGAAAGTTCTTCAGTCTTACTCTTCTGATAACATTGTTTTGACTCTTTAAGAAAGAATTTGTATAATTAATTTCATTCTAGTTCCCAGTTAATTTTTTTTTATTTGATAAAAAATCATCAATTAAGAAAATGTAGGAAATACAAAAACATAGGAAGAAGAAAAAATTGAAATCACTTGTGGTTGTATCACCTGAATTTAACTACTGTTAAATTTTTTTTCCGAATCTTATTTTTTCTCTGAACAGGTGGAATTTTTACATAGTTTTAGCTATGCTATGCCTTTTTCCCTGAATAGTAGTATTGTAAGCAGATTATTATAAATATGTGTTGAGTACTTTTCACCATTGTGCTGAGGGCTTTCACAGACATAATTTAATTTAATCTCTGCCAGAAAAGTACTATTTCCATATTTTGAGAAAAGAAAACTGAGGTTAAAGAAGTTGCTACTAGTTCAAGGATGCATAGCTAGTAAATAGAAGAATCAAGATTCCAACTCAGGTTTTGCAATTAGGTGTCACGTGCTTCTACCATTATATTTTATCTGTTGAATTTATGCTATGAATTATTCTTATTAAAAATTGTTGGGCCAGCCCCAGGGGCTTAGTGGTTAAGTTTAGCATGCTCTGCTTTGGTGGCCCAGATTCGGACCTACACCTCTCTGTTAGCAGCCATGCTGTGCTGGTGGTCCACACACTAAAAAACAGAGGAAGATTGGCATGGATGTTAGCTTAGGGTGAATCTTCCTCAGAGAAAGAAAAATTGTCTTAAGATATTTTTTCTGCTTCTTACCTAAGTTGAAAATTGTTATTACAGATATAAGCCTTCCAAAGTCAGCGGCAATCTGTTATACAGCAGCACTGTTGAAGACAAGGACTGTTTCAGATAAGTAAGTGGTTATGAAAACTACAATAATTTGGAAAGACTGCTAAACTCAATATTATGTTTTTTATCCTCTGCCTTTAAATGATGGTCTTTCTCCTCCCTACTTGCTTCTGAATGACCCTTGACTTTATAGGGCTTTGAAGCTTCTTACTATGTGTAGTAGAAAGACCAAGGGTTTACAGGTAAGTAAACCTGGGTTCAAATTCAAAGTCTATCACATACCAGGTGTAGTACTTTGGGCAAGTTAATCAGTTTGAGTCTCTTCCTCTCTGTAAAATGAGGATAATACTGTAAGGTGGTTGTGTGAGGGTTGTGTGTGTTAAGTGCCTAAAGCAATGCTAGAAAGAAGGTACATATAGTACATAGTAGCTGCAATGATGATGATAAGGTGTGTGGTAGAGAAATAGGTTTCGTTTTGTCTGTTCTGAGATAATTCTGAGTTAGTCTGTTTTCCTTGTATTTTTGGCTGCCCTTAATGAATGTCTCTTTATTCCACAGGTAAGATATTCAAAAGCCAACCAAATGGCAACCATTTTCTTTTACCTTGTATTACTGTGCCTTGATAAGAATAAGAATAGAATATTCAGTCTGTTTCCTCTCATTGAAAATTGATAAGAAAAACTGTTTCATGAGATTCTCTGTATGTCCCTGTGTAGCATTTCTTGTTTTATTATCTTTCCCAAAGTGTGCCTTCAGTGGACTTCTGAAGGCTTTCTTTACCTAAATTTGAAGATTTCCATTTCTTATGCTGCCTTTCTTTACATGTTGAACCAAAGGCTTTACTTTCATGTTGAGGAGTTATTTGGCTTTGGCCATCACCAGAAACCTCTGGTTCAGGGCGCTAGATTATGATGTAAATTCATGTATATGTATATATATATGTGTGTATGGTTTTTTTTAATATTCATTTTTTCATCTTGTGGTTTTCTTACAGATTCTCTCCAGAAACAGCATCCAGAAGAGGCTTAAGCACAGCAGAAATTAATGCTGTGGAAGCAATTCACAGAGCTGTGGAATTTAATCCTCATGTACCAAAAGTGAGAAATTTTATGATGGAAATACTACTTATTTAATCTTATCAAATTGATGACAATGTATAGACCAAAGTTTGGGTCTCCATAATTTGAGTCAAAATTGTTTCAGTCAGCCGTATTTTGATGCTTATAATTTGCCTTAAAGGGGATGTTAGAGGTCATTTAGAAAGGTGAATAGGAGCAGTAGTTCACTATAGGCTTTGTAATTGCTGTCAAAATAAAATTTGAAGTGTGTTCACTTAGCTATTCTTTTACTGTAGTTATAGAGAAGAAATAAAATGGCTTGGTCCTAGTAAAAGATTATTCATATTTCATATCATTAAATAAAATTTCCTGATACTGTAAAAGCTTTTTACATCTAGACAGATGTCTAGATTTTGAACTAGGGCTGGGTCAACAAAGACTGATGACAAATAGATTAAAATAATCAATGATAGGAAACAGATGTGGAAGTTACCTGAAAAAGCTGAGTTCATGTTTATTTAGCCCAATATGAAACTGTACCCATCTTGTTTGTCTTTATATTATGCACCTTGCAGGCACAGATTGTTGATTAATCTTTGTGTGTTATCACTCAAGATTAACTTTTGGGTTTTAAAAACAATGCCCCGTGTTAGAAAATATGGAATATTCAACAATAGATGCCTTTAGTACAAAATGTAATCATAACTGTTGATTCCAGTATAATGTGTGTTAATGGAATTTGGAAGCTAGTAAACATTAAAGAAATTAATCTCTAAAAGATAATCTCCAAGAAGTGGAAGCTGTCTGTTAGAGTAAGTAAAGATTGAGTCAAGAAAATTACCAAAATCTAGGGGCCGGCCCGGTGGCACAGCGGTTAGGTTTGCACGTTCCACTTCTGGTGGCCTGGGGTTCACCGGTTTGGATCCTGGGTGCGGACATGGCACTGCTTGGCACACCAAGCTGTGGTAGGCGTCCCACATATAAAGTAGAGGGAGATGGGCAAGGATGTTAGCTCGGGGCCAGTCTTCCTCAGCAAAAAGAGGGGGATTGGTGGCAGATGTTAGCTCAGGGCTAATCTTCCTAAAAAAAAAAAAAAAAGAAAATTACCAAAACCTAAAAATGACAGTCAACAAATATTTATACCATTCTCTCATTAAGTGACACTGGTCCCATAAATTTAAATAAAATTTTTAGTATGAATTATAATGCATATACAGCAAAATGTGAAAAACGGAAATGTGCATCTTAGTGATTTATTTTAAAGCAAATGAGTGGAAACTACCTCTGAGGTCAAGAAACAACATTGTCACCCCCTAGAAGTCCACTTGACTGCCCTTGCCCAGTTACAATTTCTTCCCTATTCCCTAAAGGTAACCACTATTCTGACATTAATTATGGTCATTTTCTTCTTTTCTTATATTTTTGGTCTATACTTTTCCTTTATTGTTGGCTTTATAGAACAAGTTAAGGAGTAGTCCCTCTTTTTTAATTCTCTGGAATAATTTGTGTAAAATTAGAATTATTTCTGCCTTAAATGATACTTAAATGGTACAATTTGCTGAAAAAGCTGATTCTGGGAGTTTTCTTTGAGGATTTTTGTAACAAATTTGATTTCTTTAGTTTATTTCATTTCACAAGTTCAATTTCTTTAACCAGTCCATAAGTATTCAAATTTATTGTTTCTTTTGTTACTTTTTGGTAAGTTGTATTTTTCTGGCAATTTATTTTGTCAAAATTTTCAAATTTATTGCCATAAAGATTTCATAAAATCCTTTTCTCACCATGTTAATATTTGCTGGATCAGTTGTAATATGTACTTTTTAATTCCAAACACTGGCTACCTTTTTTTTTTCCTTGATTAGATTCCCCAGGGATTTATCAATTTTATTAGTCTTTGCAAAGAACTGAGCTGTAACTTTGTTGATCTTCTCTACAGTTTGTTTCCTGGCTCATTAATTTCTGCTCTTTATGGCCTTCCTTCAACTTTCTTTGGCCCTATTATTTTTTATTTCCTGTATCTTCTTATATAGGTACTTAACCCATTAGTTTTCAGCCTTTCTTCTTTCTGATATATCCATTTATGTCTATAAATCTATCTCTAAGCACAGTTTTAACTACATACTAGAGCAATAGTTTTTATATAATTTAGTTCAAAATATTTTCTAATTTCTAACAGGATAATTATTAAGGTTTTGTGGAGAAATTTTAAGCTCCAACAACTTGAATAACATCCCACTTAAATAACATTGGTGTTCTATGAACTGGGAGAGCTCTGGAATTTGTGGCTGTCTGTTTGTGCTAGGGTTTTACAAGTGATGATGTATGTACAGATATTCTCTCTCTTTCTCTTTCTCTCTTCTGTTATGGTGTCTATTCCTGACTCTTAGTTGGAGCCAGCAAACAGAAAGGGCTTTAGAGGTTTTCTTCGTCAAACTTCAATTCTGGGTCATGATAACTTATTTATCCTAATGAACAGTGACATTTAAATATATATATTTTAAATCTTCTTTTGTGCTTACAAATTTATTATGCAGATTTGTCAAATGTTGTATGAATCTTACCAGTAAAATGACAAAGGATAAAGCTGTTTTAGCAGAAAATATTTTTTGGCGACTTTCCACATAACTGCAGCAGAAACGGCTGTAGGTGTAGAGCTGTGCAATTTGTTAAAGCTGAAAACTATTAAAAGTGCAATAGAGGAAGATCACATCAATCTTTTCGGACTATGAATTTGCTTTAGATGTTTCACTAATATTGATTGCTTTTACAGATTTTTTTAATCTACTGAATGAATTTCAGTGTACGGTAACTATGATAATAATAGTAAAAAATTAGAACAGCATGTTTTCATGGTTTTTGACTTGTTCTTCATCACCTAGCTATGGTTTTGGTTCAACAAACATATTTTTTAGTCACCAAACAAGAAAAAGACTGTGAATCTTTCAGCTACTATAGAAATTGTCAGTTTTTAAATTTAATACTAGGGGCTGGCCCCATGGCCAAGTGGTTAAGTTCGCTCACTCTGCTTCAGTGGCCTGGGGTTTGCCAGTTCGGATCCTGGGTGAGGACCTAACACCGCTCATCAAGCCATGCTGTGGCAGCATCCCACATAGAAGAATTAGAAGGACATACAGCTAGGATATACTACTATGCACTGGGGCTTTGGGGAGAAAAAAAAGAGGAAGATTGGCAACAGATGTTCACACAGGGCTAGTCTTCCTCAAAAAAAAGAAAGAAAGAAGGAAGGGAGGGAGGGAGGGAGGAAGGAAGGGAGGAAGGGAGGAAAATTAATTCCTTTAAAAGAAAAAAACTGAGTCCAAAAATAAATAAGCAAATAAATTTTATAGTAGAAAATGTTTCACACCTTTTCAATTTTCCACAGCATCCTGTTTCAGTCATTCTAGTGTCTCATATTCTTTATTATTCAACCATCAAATAGTTTTATAGAAGGTATTCTTTTTTTAATTGAGATAATTCACATACCATACAATTCACCCTTTTAAGTACATAATTTAGTGATTGTTTAGTATATTCATGCAATTGTACAATCATCACCACTATCTAATTCTAGAACATTTTCATTACCCCAAAAAGAATCCCTGTACCTATTCACAGTCACTCCCCATCCCTCCTGCTCCTAATCCTTGGTGACCACTAATCTACTTTCTGTCTTTATGGATTTGGAATCGTACATATGGTGGCCTTTTAAGTCTGAGTTTTTCACTTAGCATAATGTAGCATGTATCAATACTTCATTCCTTTTTATGGCTGAATAATATTCCATTGAGTGGATATACCACATTTTGTTTATCCATTCATCAATTGATGGGCATTTGGGTTGGTTCTATTTTTTGGCTATTATGAATAATGCTGCTATGAATATTCACGTGCAAGTTTTTGTGTGAACACATGGTTTCACCCCTCTTGTATATGTACCTCTGAGCAGAATTGGTGGGTCATATGGTAATTCTACGTTTAACTTTTTTGAGAAACTACCAAACTGTTTTCCAAAGTGGCTGTGCTATTTTACATTCCCACCATCAATGTGTGAGGGTTCCAGTTTCTGTATCAACACTTATTATTGTCTGTCTTTCGATTATAGTTATCCTAGTAGGTGTACAGTGGTATCTCATTGTGGTTTTGGTTTGCATTTCCTTAATGACTTGATGTTGAGCATCTGTTAATGTACTTATTGGCCATTTGTATATCTTCTTTGAATAAATGGTCTGTTCAGGTCCTTTGGACATTTTTTAATGTCTTTTTATTACAGAAGGTATTCTTTAACATTATTATTACAGTAGGCCATTGACATTCTTAATTAATATGTTCCAAAACCGTTGTGAATCTCCATAGTTGAAAATACGATTATAACATATAATTTTACCCATGAAATGAAAACAGGGTGGCTCATGAACCTTGCTGAGATATGGATGCTGAAGAGTCAGCTAGGGTTATTCATTAGGTAAATTACTCACATATGTGCACAAGCCTCAGCGCACATGATTCAAATTTGTGCCTTAGTAAAATGATGGCTTTATAAATCCTGGATGTTTAGAGATACTACAGATGATTGAAATTATAAATACTAAATCTGTGAATGTCAGTGATCTGCTGTAGATGTAACTGTTCTTAGTATGACACTATACACATCAGTTAGAATAGTATTGTCCACTTCTAATTTAGAATCTAGCAATAGCTTGCTGCAATATTTCACTGAAGGTTTTTTATAAGCATTCTACCACCAAATTTTTCTAAATTTTATTACTTTTATATTTAAATTTGAAATAATTTTATATTTGAAATTTGAAATAAAAAGCCAAAATCACAGACCATAATGTCCAAAAATATATCTACGTGTGTATGGTCAACTGACTTTTGACAAAAGAACCAATGTAATTCAATGGGGAAAGGAAACTCTTTTCAACAAATGGTGCTGGAACATTTGGATGTCAGAATGGGGGAAAATCATGAATTTTTCTCATAGCATACATAAACATGAATTTAAGACAGATCATTGACCTAAATGTAAAAACAAAGTA